CAAGAGGAAGGGGGCCCACATGGTTGGCTTAAGGGGCTGAGGCCTGGTCCTCACCTCTGAGGAGACAGACAAAGCTGTTCCCACTGGTCACGGGATCATTGGTGTGGTTGAATGGAGAGAGACGATGCTGTGTTTCTGAGTAGCTGTGATCGTGGGTGTAGCCTTTGGCTTTTGTTAAGTCTTGGTTTTTGGCTCTGTAAAATGGAATGCCGACACAGGCTTGTTGCATGGCTGGTGTGTGTGGTGGCACCACAAAGGTTTGTAATTGTCCTGAGTGGGATCAGAAGTCATTTTCTGGAATATGGCTGAGAAGCCTTGGTCCCCTTTCCCAGGAGAGTAGGAAGGAGACAACAGTGTCCTCACAGCTCTGACTCCTCCAAGCCCAGCACTAAAGCTAACTGTAGAGGTGTCCGTGCCAGGGAGCCCAGGGTTCAGGTGTAGAGGGAGGGCGTGCAGCACTTCCCCAAGTGCTTCTGTGAATTGGGTAGCCCAATGGACACACAGTCCATCCCCACTCTGTAAGTAACATCCCACTCTAGCCCAATGCCTGGGCCTCAGAGGGGACCTCACAGGAGCATCTTGGAAAGGCCACTTCCTGTGGCCATCACAGGAAGTGACATCATGGGCATGGATGGTTCTGTGAAGGGTGTGGGAACAGGGCTGGGTGAGAGGCCTTCTTTGTTAGGAGCAACTTGGTATCCTCCAAGCTGTCCAGCTCCCATTTGTCATCAGTAACTGGCATTGTGACAGCCTCTGAGGGGGACCACAGCCTGAACCCCATAGGAGCCAGGGCAGGTGGAGGCAGAGCTTTGTGTTCAGGGAGGGGTCTAGCCTGTGGGGCTTGTGTTTTTAAAACATAATAATAAGTTAGCCTGTCTCCTCCAGCTCTGCCCGCTCCCCACCGAGCACAGCGGCAGGCAGTGAATGGGAGAGATTTTCCATGCAGTGGGAGTCGGGGCTGGGAGAATTAGCCGGTGTCCAGAAGCTGAAGAACCACAGTCATTACTGATGATAAGTGTGCCCAGCGTGGGGCAGCTCTGCCCATACCTCCCTTACCCCCTCCTTCCCTCCCTGTCCTGTGCCAGCCAGCTCTGGACACATGGCCCTGTTCTGCTTTAAATAGATGCCTAGAACTGTGCCAGAGTCCCTCGGACCCAGGGACAAAGGCCAGTGATGGTGGTGTCAACTTCCCCGCCAAGCTGCAGCTTGTACTGGGTCTTCCAACCTGGGAACAGAGTCTGGACTGTAAAAGAATGATGGGTGCTTGTATCCCAGTGTGGGACACTGGGCGCATACCTGCATCCTGCCACAGCTGGGCATCTTTCTGACCATTAAACTGTAATCTGGTTTAATTTGCTGTGTGGCATTGATTACTCCCCCTTCCTGATTTGGTCACACACAGGTCTCCAGACCATCTTTATGGGGTTCAGATGATAGTGGATCAAGGAGCCTGAAGTGCAGGTCTCCAGCTCCTCCCACCTGCCACAGGGACTGCAACACCACTGTTCTCAAGACACACTTTCATCTGGTTCTTTGGGCTGAGGCCCCAGAGGCAAACCACCGTCTCCAGATCTTCTGGTTCAGACTGAGGATTTGAACCAGGTCAGGGGCTCTGGAAAACCTGTCTACTCCTGCCTAGCCTGAACTGGGGTCAAGGTCACCACAGGGGAAGCAAAGCTACTCTCCCTTCAAGGAATGCTTGAGCAACTGGGGTTGGTGGCATGTGCCTATAATTCAAGCCCTCAGGAGGCAGGGGCAGGAGGGTTACAGATTTGAGGTCAGCCTGGTCTACAGAGTGAGACTGACCCTTTTAAAGGAAGGAAGAGAGGGACGGAAGGAAGGAAAGGAGCAGAGAGTGCTTGGACTGGGGCATCTGGGAAGCTGGTTCCTCTTTGGTCCTCTGCCTCCTGCCTACTCTAGTGCCACAGGTCCGGGCACCTGTGGAGTCAGTCTCTTCACTGTCCGGGCATAGCCCAGCCCCAGGGGATCTTGCCATCCCCACTGATCTTCTTCAACACCCTGACATGAACACTGGGGTCCCTTGGAGGACTGTGGTATACATCCCCTGTCCTCCAGAACAGCCAATAAAACTGCTAAGGAGCCTTGGAGCTCCAACAGACAGTGCCTGAGAGGACCACTGGCTCCACACCTGCCTGTGTGACCATGGCCCAAGAGAAAAGGGAACTTGTCACTATTAGGAGAGCAGGGTGGTGGCTGGACTCAAATCTGGCCTTAGAGACAGGACAAAAGAGAGTCTGAGACCTCCAGAGGTGGAGAGGCTGTGTGACCTTCAAGGTTAGCGTCATGGCTAGAATGGCCAGCCAATGGCATCTCTGAGTAGCAGTTGGTCTGTCAAAGCCACCCAGGGGAGAAGGGTCTTCCCTGGTCCCTGGAAGTGTGTGTGTGAGTTAATGTTGGGCAGGGGAGAGCAGCATTTAAATCACCCCCATGGAGCTCTCATTCTATAGGGATGGGAAGTTAAGAGCCAGGCTTGGATGGTACACACCTGTGATCCGGGAACCTAGGAGTTGGAATCTCAGGAGGGCCTGTAGTTCAAGGTCACCCTCACTCACCTAGTGTGGGCCCAGCCTGTGCTTGATGCCTGGTCACACCCCTGGGCTAAAAGGCCTCCGTAAAGTGGGGAGACTGGGACCCCTGACTTAGGGCTGTGATTCCCACGCTATGTGCCATGTCACCTCAGGGTGCTGTGGAATATTTTTTTAATCCTGGGGAAACAGTAGCAGAAGTTCACTGTTTCAACACTAATGTTACCTGGCCCTCCTTCAGCTGGCCATGTCACTGCAAAGCTGGCCATGTCACTGCAAAGCAAAGGACAAATAGTGTCCACTCTGCTTTGCTCACATGCCATTCCAGTTAATAGTTGTTGAAATGGAGAGAGAGAGAGTGGGTGAGATGGAGAGAGAGAGAGAGAGAGAGAGAGAGAGAGAGAGAGAGAGAGAGAGAGAGAGAGAGAGAATTAGAAGCTGGGATCCACAGATTCACATGTGAGAAGGAACATGAGGTATTTGTTTTTCTGAGCACAGGTTACACACTTAAGGTAAATTTCCACATCCACCCATTTCCCTGCAGAGTTCTCTTTTCTTTGTGGATGAATGGCATGTGTGTTTACCCCATTTTCATTATCCGTTCATCGAAATTGATGGGCATCTGTGCGGATTCCATTCCCTTGCTATTGTGAGTAGAGCGGTGATGACCATGAATGTGCAATTATACTGGGTATTTTTCCAAACGGGGAACGAGCTTTTAGGAATAAATCCATACTGAGTTTTTTGACTCTGACTATGTAATACATTCCTCACTTGTGAATTCTTTGTGCCCTTGTGATACCATTAAAATTGATCTACTACTACTACACTAGAAAGTGTAGGCGGCTGTGTTGAGGGTGATCGTGAGGTGTATCTAGGGCTAGGAAATATCCTCTAAGCAGGGCCAGGCAGGGTAGCCCCAGGAATCCCAAGTACTTCATCCTTGGCTATTGCTACAGGACTTAGTTGAGGCCACCACACCTCCTGGGCTTCTGCTATGCCACTAGAGGGGCGGGCCCAGTCTGGATGTTGTTTCTTGGGTTCAAACCTTTGCTCTGCTGTGTGAACTTGGGCAACTTGATTAACCCCTCTGGGCCTCAATTTCTCCTCTATAAAACGAGGACAAGGGAACACAGGGTTGTTGCAAGAATTTGATAACTCAACTGTTCCCAAATATTCGATGGCTCACTGCTTGTGTAGGCATTTGGGAAGACTTCAACAGGGCAATGTGTCCTTACCAAGTGGCAGGCTCTCTCAGGACCATCAAGTGATCTTCAAAGTACCTCTTCGCAGTCTTCCTCAGCAACAAAAGAGCAGAACACCCTTGGGATGCGCTCTCTCTCTCTGTCTCTGTCTCTCTCTCTGGGTCACATAGAGGATGCTGGAAGAGATGGGTTTGCACCTCATTGGCTGGCTTCTTGTTTACCCATTAGGTGGGGGTATATTTGTGCACACACTCTCTCTCTCCCACCCCAGTATCTTTTGTCCAGATCTTCTCTCCCAAAGCTACCCCAGTCTTAGGAGAGTCGCCTGTTGCACACAGAGAAAGAACAGACATGTGTGTCCCCTGCCCTTCTGCCTGCAGGGGGATTCCTTAGGGCCACACACAGCCTTTTGACCCTGAGGGACAAGCACCTCCCAGGGCCCCACTGCCTCGGCAAGCACATGGCTGGTGGGAGGGGCCTCACGTGCTCAGGCAAACAAACAAAAAAAACCCACATGGCACCCTGTGCTTATTTCCACTTTCCCAGGAGTAGTGAGCTCAGAGCACAAGCCCCCTACTGCTTGTCCCGAGCTGCCTGATTGTTCTGCATTTGTGATGCAGAGCCAATTTTCCTAAGTGAATTGTGACCAATCATAGGCCTGGCCTGCTTTCCTCCCTTCCTGTTTGTCTCACCTCCTAAGGTGCTGTTCTTTCCAGGGACAGAGACGTTTCCATCAGGTCACGTGGGGGAGGGGTGGCCACCCGCTTAGCCTAGCCGTGTGCTCTGAAGGTTCACCTCTATCTTGCTAAGGGTGTGAGCCTGGGAGGAGGCTGCAGGATGCTCAGAGCTCTGGGCTTGGCACTACACACACCCCCATCTCCCAACCCCCACCCTGGTCCTGGGTTTCTGTGTCACCAGCCATGCTGGCTGGGGCTGCAGAGGGCAGTGGTGGCTTCGGGGCAGAACTGACCTGCTTTGTGCTTTAGCCTCAGCCTGTGAGAGATGATTGAGGCCAGGCAGAGCCAGGACAGCAAACGTGGGCAGGTCCAGTGGGGGTGTCCTCACCTCTGGCCTCCCGGACTTCTCCAGTTAGAAGGACCACTAACACCCCAGACCCTCAAAATCTGGCCTCTTAGATGCAAAGCAGGATAGGGAAGCTGCAGGCTCAGGAGATCTTGTATGAGTGACAGGGCAGGTGCCCAGGATGAGGGGTGTCCAGCCTGCACTTCATGGTACTCTCTCTCCACAGGCCTTCTTGACTTAGGTGGTCAGGTGCTCCCAGACTCCCTGCCGTCAGCCCCCGCCGAGCAGCTGCCTCACTTCCTGCAGGAGCCTCAGGATGCCTACATTGTAAAGAACAAGCCCGTGGAACTACGCTGCCGCGCCCTTCCCGCCACACAGATCTACTTCAAGTGTAATGGCGAATGGGTCAGCCAGAACGACCACATCACACAGGAGAGCCTGGATGAGGCCACAGGTGAGGCCAACCCTGCCTGGCTCCTCTGGGCCTCAATGTCCCCTCTGGTTCCCCAGTTGCTGGCTACAAGTCCCCAGCAGGGAACTAGGGCTCCCCCACCCTCCCACACAGTGGCCAGTCTTGTACAAGATTCAACCCTGGTGTTGCCCTTCCATAACTTTCCACTGGGGGAAAATGGTGCCATTTTCCAGTTACTTTCATGATGTGTTTCCTTGACAAAAGTTGTTCTTGGTATAACAGAAACGACTCACCCTTGTCAATATATTTGGGACCAGAAGTGTTCTAGATGTCAGGATTTTTTGGACTGAGAATTTGCCCAGATGTGAATCAGATAGTCCCCCCTAATTAAAAAAAAAAAAAAAAAAAGCAACATTCAAAATGTTCCAAAACCTGAAACTTCTGCAACTTTCTGTCAGTGCTTGGAAGGTTTTGGTTTTGGAATGCAGCCTTGTGACCTTAGTTACTCAGGAGGTTGAGGCAAGAGGATGACAGGTTCAAGTTTATTTTGGGAACACTGTCTCAAAAAGTGAGAAGAGGGGCCGTGTTAGGACCAACACCAGGCTGACCCCACCCCCTGATGATGGGCGGGGCACACACAGGGACGTGCTAGCCTTCACCATGTACGGACCTGTGTGAGGACTCTGCGCATGTATGGAACCTCAGTGCGCATGCGCTGTTTTCCCTTTAAAAGTTCCACCTACCCCCGCCGCCTCTCCTCTCTTCCGCTCTTCTCTTCACTCATGCCCTCTTCTCTGTCTCTCTTCTCTCTTACTCTCTGCCCTGCTCTGTTCTTCCATTTCTCTCTCTCCCCCTCTCGCTCCAAGGCCCTATAATAAACTCGTTAATGAGCTCTCTATATAGTCCATGTCCATCTTTCGAATTTCAAATTTAAGCAAAAGAATAACAGGCTTGGGCTGTAGCTCAGTGCCTGCCAGTATTCAAAAGGCCCTGGGTTCAATTCCCTACGCGGCAAAATAAGATAAAATGAAGTTGGCTGGCCAGATGGCTTGGTGGGTAAAGGCACACTTGTCTTACAACGTGAGCTCAGTCCCTAGATCCACATGGTAGAAGGAGCTGACTCAGAAAACTGTCCCTTGACTCCAGATGCATGCTGTAGCGCGCGCGCGCGCGCACACACACACACACACACACACACACACACACACACACACTAACTGAATGTAAAGATATTTTAAGTAATAAAATTTCACTTGCTTTTAATCGCAGCTCAGGAAACAGAGGCAGATTAATCTCACATTGAGGCTACCTTGGTCTACAGAGTGAGTTCTAGGACAGCCAGGGCTATGTAGAGAAACCCTGTCTCAAAACAAATAAGTAAATTTGGGGGAGCATTTTGGATTGCAGATTGGGGCTGCTCTGTCCTGTAAATATTACCTGAATGATCAAACAAGTGATACTGGGTTGCAGGTAGGACAGTGACTGAACCTCAGGGATGAGAAGAGGCACAAGGGCCCTTCCTGCTGAGGTGAGGCCCACCCTGCTGCCACGTGGAGGCTCAGCAGTTCTAAACATCTCCTGCTTGCTGGCGAGCACCAGTGCCCCTGGTTTAGGGAAGGTGCCTGTCACCAGGCCCTGTCACTAGTGTGAGAGCCCTGATAGAATGCCTTTCCCAGAACCTAGCAAGGGAGCACGCACAGGTGTCCCCTAACAGAGGGGAGACCCCCGACAGAGGGGAGACTCCTGACAGACAAACAGAAACCTGGGCAACCCAGGTCTGGCTGACACCCGGCCTGGCTCTGACTTTGCTCTCTCCTGCTCTTTTCTGCCTGTTGCTCCCTTCTCAGTCTCTGTCCGTCTGTCTGTCTCCTACATTTTTCCTCCAGACCCAGCCACCTTTTCTCTCCTTCAGTTACTGCTTTGCCTTGAAAAGCCCTGATTTCAGGCCCACCCTGATGTAAAGCCACACCCCAGACCTAACCAACACTCAGTGCTGCTCCCGAGGTTCAGTTGCAGGTGTGAGCATGGTACCAGGATTCTAAAATAAAGACTTCATATCCCACTCTTGTCCAAAATCTGGTGAATAAAAGAATTAGAAGCAAAACCAAACAAGCAGGCTTGTCAATCCCAACATTTGGAGGAGGCCTTAGAGGCAGGAGGATGAAAAGTTTGACACTCTCCAAGATCCACAAAGTGAGGTCCTGTCTCAATCAAAACAGAAGAGAATAAATAGTTTAACCCACCACTCAGATGACATCACTCTGGCTGTGTGACTATGAGGCAGTCACTCAGCCTCTCTGAGCCCCTTGTGCTTCCTTCTATTATAGCAGGAGGTCCCAGTGGAAAGGCAACAAGATGGCACAGGTATAGTGCCAGGCAGGCAGAGTACCAGGGCCCTCTGGGCCCTGCCAAACACCTCTGTATTCTTCTGGGGCGTTGTCCTAGCCTCTTAGAATTAGTCGTTACAATTAGTTTCTTTGGCCTATGAGTCCCTTCTCGTCCCAGTGAGTTCTAGCCCAACCAAGAGGCAGTTTACCTGCTGGGGTCCTCAGATGATGATGATCCATGATGGCAATAACAACCCCATGGTTCCTAATAACAGTGCCAGCATGGCTCTTGCTCCTGCTATCAAAAGCCATGGGAACTGGGGTTCTGTTGGACCCACTAGCTGTTCCTCTAGTGACTGATCCCACGGCCCATTCATGGGAGGACAGTTGTGACTAAGACAAGAGGGTCAGGCCTACTTACAGCTCCTGCCTGGACCAGCAGGTAGCCCAAATGGAAGTGCCCTGGGCATAGAAGGGACAGTAGAGTTCCAGGGAGGAGACAGTGTTCTGAGGCCCTGTGGAGATGCTGTGTCTTTCTTCTGAGGGAATCTGTAGAACGTGTGTGTGTGTGTTGTGTGTGTGTGTGTGTGTGTGTGTGTGTGTGTGTGTGTGTTTGACAAGCACAGGCTAGCTGGGTGGTGAATGGGTCTGAGGATACAGAAGGCTGAGGATACATTAGCTTTAACACAGACCTGGGGAACAGCTGTAGATAGCTCCAAGTGGATTCTGCAGGCTGGGGTGGAAGGGAGATAGCGTCTTCCCCTGCCACCAAGGACCCGACTTCGACTTCTCTCTCCCAGGCTTGCGGGTGCGAGAGGTGCAGATCGAGGTATCTCGGCAGCAGGTGGAGGAACTGTTTGGGCTGGAGGACTACTGGTGCCAGTGTGTAGCCTGGAGCTCTTCAGGAACCACCAAGAGTCGCCGAGCCTACATCCGCATTGCTTGTATGCTACCTTGATTAACCCACTCTGCCCACTGAAATCAGAGAAAGAAATGTCCGCTAAGGGACATTTGGGTGCCATCCACATGGGCTCTTAGACCCAGAAACCAGGCCTCAGGCCCCAGGGTTTCCAACAGTCCTTGCCACCTGTGAAGGAAAACCAGAGACTTCTGGGCAAGGTCCCAGAGTCAGGGAGCAGACCCTGTTTCCCAGGTGAAGGGTGCCTGCAAATAGGTCCTTAGATATACTCTGCCCCCTAGTGGCCTTAGTGGTCACCTCATGCTCTCATCCAGCCCTCACCTGTTATACTTGGCCCTTCTCCTCTCAGACCTGCGCAAGAACTTCGATCAGGAGCCTTTGGCAAAGGAGGTGCCATTGGATCATGAGGTCCTTCTGCAGTGCCGCCCACCGGAGGGAGTGCCCGTGGCTGAGGTGAGGGGGATGTGGCCAGGCAGGCAGGGCCTTTACCAGCAGCTGGGATGCCACAGCCTCTAGACCTCTGTGGTTCTGCCTCTCATGAACTCCATTCACACCAGCCCTCGTCCAGCCCTCCATAGGTGCTACCTCACAGGAAGAGAACCCCAGGGCTCCTTGGGTAGGCCCCATGCCTAGTCCCTGACACCCCCACTTGACATAGACGCAAGAAACCACACTTGTAGATATCAGCAGGTTTCAGTGTGTATGCTCAGATGTCCAGTCTCTCAGCTAGACACCAACTTCCTCTTTCCCCATTCACGCCCCATACTGGTGTAGAAGTTCAAAGGGGACATGTGGCTTTGCACCCAAGGACAGACCTCTTACTCGGGACTCAGCTATCAAGCCCCCAAACTTGGTACTGGTCTCCCAGGTTTCTTCTTGTGCCCTCCTGGGCAGTGGGTTCAGTGGGTGGTGATTGCTGCCTGTTGGGCTTTGGTCTCAGCAGCCCTGCAATATGGTCTAGGCCACCCTTCTAGAGATGAGAGGCATGGTGTGACCGCCTAGGTTGTGACTGCTAATGAGTAGCAGAGCTGAGGACTGAACCCAGGGGTCCTGCTGCGGGAGCTTAGGGTAGGACAGACGCTAGCAGCCTGTGTGTTTTTAGTACTTTTGTGAGCCCAGCGTGTCAATTCACCCCTGCCCCGTGGAATGGGTGCTGTTCAGGGTCCATCTTACAGTTGGTAAAGTTGAGGTCCTGGGTCTCCCAAGATCACTCTGCTGGTAAATGATATTCCCCACAGAGGTGCTGGTACCTGTTGCTGCCAGGCGTGACCCTAGGCGTGGACATAGGCAGGACGGATATTCTAGCTATGCCTGGCCCCCTCCTTCCCTCTGTAGGAGGCCCAGCCCCAGTGCCAGCAGGCAAATAATGAGATCTCACTGCTCCCCTCCACAGGTAGAGTGGCTCAAGAATGAAGATGTCATTGACCCCACTCAGGATACCAACTTCCTGCTCACCATTGACCACAATCTCATCATCCGCCAGGCTCGTCTATCAGACACAGCCAACTACACCTGCGTGGCCAAGAATATCGTGGCCAAGCGCCGGAGTACCACTGCCACAGTCATCGTCTACGGTGTGGACGGGGTGCTTGTTGGGATATGCTGTGGTTATCCTGGGTGTCCTCTAAGATGGGAGCTCTCAGGTGCTAGGGGGAGGCCTGAGGCAACACATCCCACCTATCCTGAGCTCCAGGAGGTCAGTGGCCCCCTGAACTGTATGGAGAGGAAATCTAGAGAGATAAGTGGCCAAGTCAGGCACTCTGAGTCCCCAGCCTGGAGCACTCCCTACTTCTCAGGGCCCCTTGGCCACCTCTTAAAAAGACCCACTTCTCCTGAGTTGGGCCCAAGGCAGGGTCACAACCAGATCCCCACACTCAAGTCATTTTGTCCTAGTAAGGATGCTGTCCAGGCCTGCACGCTGCTCTCTGCTATTTCTTTGAGTCCAAAGATGGCGGGAAGAATCATAGTGGCAGTGACTAGAATGTACTAGGAAGTCCTCTCCTGGGATTCAGTCCCAGGCCAAAGTCCAGGTACCCTGCCACACACTGGGTGACCTAGGTTAAGTGTTAACCCACCTAGCCTTCCTGTGTCACTGTACAGTAGACCAAGATTAGACAGTGACCTCCTAAGCCCTTTCAGGTACTGAAGTGGTATCTCAGTGCCCAGCCCCATAAGTGAAGGGTTCCAACCAGAGTGCCTGGATTAGTAAAGGTGGGTCATGGGTTTGAACCCAGATCCATGCTAACTGTGTGATGACCCATCCCCACAGTGAATGGTGGTTGGTCCAGCTGGGCAGAGTGGTCACCCTGCTCTAATCGATGCGGCCGAGGCTGGCAGAAGCGAACACGGACCTGCACCAACCCAGCCCCACTCAATGGAGGTGCCTTCTGTGAGGGACAAGCCTTCCAGAAGACAGCCTGTACCACTGTGTGCCCTGGTAGGAGTCACAAGCCCGCCCAGGCTCCTCTGCCTATGAGATGTAGCACCTTCTCCCTGAGCAACAGAGTGTCCAGACCCCAGGTCCTCAGCATATTCTGTCGCCTCTAGCATCTGATTCTGCCCCAAGCGGCTAGAGAACTGGAATCAGAGGCAGTGAACCGAAGCTAGATAGAGCTCCTGACTTCAAGAGCTGCCAGGGTCCCAGAGAGCTCCCTGAATGTATCTGTTGAGATGACTGTTGACTGTCTGTCTTCTCCCTTCTCTAGGTTCATCTGCCCTTTGCCCCCCCCCATCCTTGTCCATCCAGCTATGCTTGTCCTTTGGTTGTGTATATGTGACTGTGTGCTGTTTTCTTATATTTTTGATTGTGAGCCTAGCCTTTAACGGCGTAGCTGTCCCTCCAGTCCATGTGTGTGCCGTTTTCTCACCCGGGTTTTGGGCTCTCTCTGTGCCAGTAACCTTAAGCATCTTTGTTCTCGTCCACTGAGTGCGTCTAACTGTATGTAGCAAGCAGTGTGGCCTATGCTGTTACTTTACTGATTGGCGTGTTTGTTGCATGCGTGTATGCATTGTTACTGTTTCTGTGTTGCTGTTCAGATGCATAACTGCATGTGCTGTGCTCCCCACAGTGGATGGAGCGTGGACCGAGTGGAGCAAGTGGTCAGCCTGCAGCACGGAGTGCGCGCACTGGCGCAGTCGTGAATGCATGGCGCCCCCACCGCAGAACGGAGGCCGTGACTGCAGTGGAACACTACTTGACTCCAAGAACTGCACCGATGGGCTGTGCGTGCAGAGTGAGTGCTCTGGAGTCAGGTGACAGACCCCTCTGCCCCTGCCCAGCCTTGGGCCACTGTGCCCACCTGAGCAGAGCAGCCCATAGGGCCTCTGTCTGACCCCCACATCCTTCATCTCATCCATACCACACCCCAGTACCTTCTCTACCATCCTTTTTCTGTCACCTGTGTCATTGTCTTTCCCTTTATTTCCCTTGACAGGTAAGAGAACTCTAAACGACCCTAAAAGCCACCGTAAGTCCATTTCATGACTGTCCTCTTTCTTCTGGGAATCCCTGGTTCTCCTTGGCTGGCTTTCCATGGGTGTGGGGTACAAGGCAGGGAGAGTTGACTCTTATTTCCCCCCTAGTACAAACCCATAAGATCCCTGTACCTCATGTGTTTTGCCACACCCCCATCTCAGAGAGGCAACCAGACTCTTGGCCGACTGAAAGGCCCCAGGACTCCCCCTTAATCCGCCTGTTATAGAATAGGAAAGTGAATCTCAGAGAGGAGAAGAAATTTGTCCAAGGAGCAAACCAGCAAGTAGCAGAGCCAGGACTTGAACCCAAATGTTTTTGTGGCCAAAGCAGACAGTCTTAATCACTCTCTTTCCTCTCTGAGACGTGCCAGGAGACAGTGTCATGCCTGTCTACCTCTGCCCCACACTGTACCCTTAGCAGCCGGGCCACACCTCCCAAGTTAACTCTGGCACCAGTGGCACTGCTCTGATTCAGCTCCCAAGGGACGACTCCTGCCCCTAGGGCCCTTGCCGCTGTGACTGCAATATCAGAGCAACACAGCCTCTCCCTCAGACCAGCCTGTGGTAATTAAAGAACAATTTCAGATCATTCTGGAATCATAAAACCTGCAGGGAAGGCTTCAGCCCAGCGCCCCGAGAGGCCAAGCCAGTGGCTGATTAGAGTATAAATCGCCAAGCAAGTGGCCCCCAGTGCCAGTGAGGACATGATAGAGTGTGGGAGCCAAGGTTAGGGAAGAGCCTGATCCTGCTGGGACAGGAGCTCCCCCTCCCCCCAGAGGGGATAGGTCAGTCCTGAGGAAGAATCTCTAGCAGCTCCCTGGTTGTCAGGATGCTCTGGGGACCCCTAGTGAGGACTGTTAGGCAGTGTAGAAAATGAGCAGGTTCCCAGAGCAGGAGCAGCATGGGCTCCATTCTAGGCGGCAGCATGGGCTCGCCTACCGGTGCGGACAGCCAGGCGGTGGAACTCAGGCTACTGCTCCCAGAGTTCCCTATTTCTAATGAAGCACAGGTCCCAAAAGAAACAAGGTCAAAGAGCAGCTGTCTGGTGTCCCCCATCTTGGCTGTACCTGAGCTAGCTGATGTGATAGTCACTGCAGGTGGCTTTTAAAATTCATATTTCACTTCATTAAAAGTACATTCATTAGAAAACACAGCTCCTCAGTCACACAGGCCACAGTTCAGTTTTCAGTAGCTGCATATGTCTACTTGAGTACACCAGGGATGGTGTGGACAGGATAGTCCCTCCTAGACTGACCTGTGGACCCTACCTCTGACCTTGCGGTGTTTCTGCCTGATAATGAGTACTTACTTTCAACTGCAGCCCCCTGCTGGAGGAAGGAGGTGTAGCCGTGGGTGGCCTCCCCCATTTCCATCCCTTTTCTCCCATCTCCTCACCACCTCTCCATCCATTGCCTCGCCTCTCACACCATGCTCCTCCGCTCTCTCCAACTCCCATCCTTGGCATAGCCGAGGAGACTGATTAAGGTTTCAGGGAGCCCGGACTTTGGTCATATGGAAGGTGTAGGCTTGGAGTTTTGCATTTAGGTGTGATTGTGTGCCCTCCAGTTTCTGAGCCCCATACCCCTGGCTGCAGCCATGAGCCATGAGTGAGCTTGTGAATCAGACCTATTGGTTGTGTTACCTTCAGCACTATGCCAGGAAGGTGGGCAGTAGGGCAGGGATCAGAGGACACTTTACTGGGGAAGGGATGGACTCAGAGGGTTGTGAGGCTTGCCTGAGGCCACTGCTCTGTCTTGGCAGGTGAAGCCTAGAATCTAGATTTTTTTTCCTTGGGACCCTAAAGGGCCTGCCCCTCACTTAACCCTCTTGCTTCTACAGTCCTGGAACCCTCAGGAGATGTGGCGCTGTATGCAGGCCTCGTAGTGGCTGTCTTTGTGGTTGTGGCAGTTCTCATGGCAGTGGGCGTGGTGGTGTACCGAAGAAACTGCCGGGACTTTGACACAGACATCACCGACTCCTCTGCTGCCCTCACTGGTGGTTTCCATCCTGTCAACTTCAAGACTGCAAGGCCTAGTAAGGACCTGGAGAAACCTGGGGTAGCAGGAATGGTTGGGGGACCCTAGAGCTGTGTAGCTGTCACCAGAGCTGGGGTCCTGACAGCCCCCTGATGTCTTTCCCCATCTGTCTAAGACTCCCCGTGACAGGCGGGAACTGAGCCTTCTATGACTAGACATGTGGACTGGGCAGAAGGCACCAAGGAAACAGAGTGGGCAGGGCCAGTATGGTGAGGGGTGAGGAAGGTGACTCTGACTCTCACATTCACCCCTGCAGACAACCCACAGCTCCTGCACCCGGCCGCCCCTCCAGACCTGACAGCCAGTGCTGGCATCTACCGGGGGCCTGTGTATGCCCTGCAGGACTCCGCCGACAAGATCCCTATGACTAATTCACCCCTGCTGGATCCCCTACCCAGCCTCAAGATCAAGGTCTATAACTCCAGCACCACTGGCTCTGCATCTGGCCTGCCTGATGGAGCCGACCTGCTGGGTGTCCTACCGCCTGGCACATACCCAGGCGATTTCTCCCGGGACACCCACCTGCTGCACCTGCGCAGTGCCAGCCTTGGTTCCCAACAGCTCTTGGGCGTACCTCGAGACCCCAGCAGCAGCCTCAGTGGCACCTTTGGTTGCCTGGGTGGGAGGCTGAGCATTCCTGGCACAGGTAGGCCCTTGGTCCTATTGCTCAAATGGGAAAGTGAAGCTCAGGGCAGATTACACATAGAGAAGTCTGGTAGAAGACCTGACACCAGGCCTGCCGGGGCCTCACTGCCCCTGTGAGGTTGGAAGAACAGCTCTTATCATTAGAATTCCACAGAGAGGTCCTAATTTTGAGTGGCAGCAGGGCAGGACTGCCCATCTTGACTTGCGAAAGTAGCAGCTGGCAGCTTTTCAAGGTGCTGTCCCAAGCCAGCATGGAGCTAGCACAGGGGTCTTCCGAACGCCCCACCCCCCAGCAATGTTAGAGGCCCATGTACTCCTGGGTATACCAGCTATGGCTGAATGGCCTGGCTGCTCCCTATGTCTGCCCCCACCTCTCCCTAATCTATAGTCTGTCCCTTCCCTAAGCTAGAGCCAGGTCCCGTCCTATTCTTATCACCTCTGCCTCCTCTAAGCCCTTCCTGATGAGAACTTCCCTTCCTCCCTAGGGGTCAGCCTGTTGGTGCCAAATGGAGCCATTCCCCCGGGCAAGTTCTATGAGATGTATCTACTTATCAACAAAGCTGAAAGCACCCTGTGAGTAGACACTAGAGCCCTGGCCAGGCAACGCCTCTTCCCCTCTGCTCACCCTGGGCACAGATATTTCCATGTACCCCTGGGAGCTTGGTACCCATTGTCCAGGGTCCCCCAGAGAAAGTATGTTCTAACTGGGTAAAACCCAGCAGCAGCAAGTCCTTCCTATAAAAAGGGGATTTGTAAATGAGGGAGTATATTGCTTCCTGTCCCATTGCTGTGGCAAATGTCTGATAAGAACTTGAGGTAGGCATTAATTTGGGCCCATCATGGTGCCAGCCCCTCTAGCTGTGGTCACAGGAGCATGAAGCATCCATGGCCAGAAAGAAGCAGAGAGGGGTGAGCGCCTGTGCCCAAGATTTCCCTCTCCTTTCCTTTTCATTCAGTCTGGATCCCTAACCCAGAGGATATGCTGCCCACCTTCAGAAAAGGTCTCTCCCCCTCTCCTGAACCCTCTCAGGGACACACTCACAGACAGGCATGTCAAGGTTGCATCTCCTCCGTGACCCCAAATCCAGTCATGTTGACAGAAAAGATTAACTAGCACAGCTAGTAAGAAAAACAGAACATCTCAGTTTGACCATGGGCCTAGAACATGAACAAGTGATTCACATGTCCGTACACCATGTATGTTGTTCATGACAAGTCATTCCATCTGAATTGTAGTCACAGACGGCTCATGAAACAACATGGGTAGACATTAAGAAGGGTTTTGCTTAAGGAACCTGTAAGGGTGCCACGCCTCCAAGAATACAGGCACATCGCCTTCCTGACACACTGGTGGTTATGTAGATTGGGACCGGCTCTCCCAAGGGCAGAGTGACAGCATGTAGACTCCCATAAGTTGTCCTCTCTCACACACACACATTCCAAAATGGTTTTGTTGTTGTTTTTCAATACTATGTAGGCCTGGCTGGCTGTTGTGGAACTCACTATGTAGACAGGCTGGCCTCGAACTCACATCAGCCTCTGCCTCCCCAAGTGCTGTGATGAAAGGCGTGTGCCACTATGTTTTTTTTTTTTTTTTTTTCTTAATGGCCTCAAATGACTTTTATGTATTTTGTTGTTTTGTTTTAAAGAAAGTAAAGAAAGACCAGAATGTTCTATAAAACCCCAGACCTTTGAGGCTGGGCAAAGCCTTGGCCGAGACTGTTTTGATGTGACAGCAAAAACCTAGAATGCAGTTCCCTATTTCCCACCACTGTGGTGTCTGTCCCCCGAGCAGCAGAGACTTGGCTTGGCACAGGCTCTGGGTAGAGTTGGGGTCCTTCAGGGGTGGGGTATGTTCATACTGTATGAGTATTTCTAGCTTCTGTTCACTGAGTCCCTCTACCCTTCCCCAGCCCGCTTTCTGAGGGGACCCAAACAGTATTGAGCCCCTCAGTGACCTGTGGTCCCACGGGCCTCCTCCTGTGCCGCCCTGTCATCCTCACTGTGCCCCACTGTGCTGAAGTCATCGCCGGAGACTGGATCTTCCAGCTCAAGACCCAGACCCATCAGGGCCACTGGGAGGTGAGACGCTGGGTGGGGAGCGGCTGACTCTCAGAACTGCCCTTCTCCTGACTGCTCTCTGCCCACATGACAACATCTTCTTCTCCCCTTGTAGGAGGTAGTAACCTTGGATGAGGAGACCCTGAACACCCCCTGCTACTGCCAGCTGGAGGCTAAGTCCTGTCACATCCTGTTGGACCAGCTAGGCACCTATGTGTTCACTGGCGAGTCCTACTCCCGCTCTGCAGTCAAGAGGCTCCAGCTGGCCATCTTTGCCCCAGCCCTCTGTACCTCCCTGGAGTACAGCCTCAGGGTCTACTGTCTGGAGGACACGCCTGTGGCATTGAAGGTGGGAGCTTGTGGGGGCACTGCAGGGGCATCAGCACAGCCCATCAGTTGCTGGCACCCCTCCCAGGGTGCACAGTCCCTGCCAGGCTTCTGTCTGGCAACGGCTTCCATCATAGTCACTCTTACTTTCACCAGACATCAGAACAGCACTGGACTGTCAGACAGGGATGGAGGCCACAGCTCCTGACTCTGGGCTGGAGGTGGAGACAAACAGGGAAATCTCTTTTGAGGAGTTTGAGAAAGTGTACCTCAGATCTAAGCCCTGGATAGCAAGTTGTCACACTGGGTAGAGAAGAGGACATGTCCAACCAGCAGAATGACATTCTGCCAAGACAGGTGTGCAACTCAGCATGTGTGGACAGTATAGGATGTGTGTATGTGTGACTGTGTAGTGAGAGAGAGGGCTGGAGAGACGAGCTGCTTACTTAGTAAGCTCTGGTTATACTTAGTAACTGGGATGCTGTCCAGTGGCAAGGGACCCAGCTGTGGCAGATCCGGTTCACAGGTGCTCTGAGGAACGGCCTGCAGCTATGGTGTGTGTGTGTGTGTGTGTGTTGGTAAACAAGAGGCAAAGGCCAGTTGGAAAGCTGGGGCCAAGGCCCAGACAGCAGGCAGTGGCCAGGAGATGAGGTTGGCCCTTGTGGTTAGTCAGTAGGATGGGCAGACAGGACTGAGCAAGGATAGCCCAGGCTTCTAGCAGACACAAAGCAAAGCCAATGGAGACCAGACGTGAAGGAAAGGCAGGGGCAGGTGAGGAGATGTTGGACAGATGGAGGGGGATAATGTTGGCAGATGTGGAGACCAATGTAGGTACCTCCTGTCACACATGTCTCAAAGCCACTGTCCCTTCCTCTCCTAACCCTGTCCCATCCTCACATGATACTAGAGGATATAGAGTTGGCTCTCTTCTCCATCCTTCCAGGACTCTGAGAAGCCTCATGGTTCTTTCTGACAGCCTGGACAGACCCTGAGTTGGGGTCTCTCCTAGTCAACGCTGTCTCTGAGTCTCACGTGGCTTTCTCAGGCTCCAAGCTAGGAACTGATGCAACATAGGTGAAAAGGCCTTGTGGGAGAAGGAACATCCCCTGTGGGGACTGTACTACCCTGACATTCCAAGAGGCCTCCAAAAGGGGTGGGGCACTGCTGGCAATCTCTTGCAGCTGGAGCTGGTGGCATGGGTGCTTGCTAAGTGCTCATCCTGGCCAGAGGGTGGTGTGAAGGTCAACAGGGAAATTGTCGCATTCTGGGCCTGATTGCATCCTTTCCTTGTTCAAGCTCATCTACTCACTCTTTTCACTCTTCTTACCAAAACACTTACTTGATAAATAGCCTACAAGGCCATCCAGCTACCATTCCTCTCTTCACTCATGTACCTTTCCTTCCAAATATTCTTCTATTCATATACCACTCATTTGTATATCCATTTATCTGTTTACCCACCTAACCCACACATCCATCCAGTGATCCATTCAATCATCTGTCGGTCCATCCATCCATCTATTCATCCATCCGTCTATTCATCCATCCATCCATCCATCCATCTATCCATCCATCCATCATCTTTGTGTTCACCTAGTCATATACTTGGTTGGCATCCTACCTGTATGCTCAACCCATCTATACATTTATCTAATTCTCCTTCCAAGCTCCTGTTACCCACACAATGTTCTCTATATGTATCTGTCTATCCATCTATCTATCTATCCATCCATCCATTTATCCACCCATCATCCATCTGCCCACTCATTTTCCATTCATCCACTTGTGTATCTGCCTATCCATTCACTCGAAACACCTTCTTTTTAATTGAATCAGATGGGTCTGACCCCAGTCTAGCAAGTTGCAGTATAAAAGACCCATGGACCAAGGGTAACAAGTCCCTCCCACTGCCCCATCAACAGGAGGTGCTAGAGCTGGAGCGGACTCTGGGAGGCTACTTGGTTGAAGAGCCCAAGCCTTTGCTCTTTAAGGACAGTTACCACAACCTGCGCCTCTCCCTCCACGACATCCCCCATGCCCACTGGAGGAGCAAGCTTCTGGCCAAGTACCAGGTAAGCACTAGGCCTGGGGAGGGGCAGAGAGGAACCGATACCACATCCTTTGCAGTGAAGCAAGCACTGTTTCCCAGGTCTCTCATCCCCGTCCCGTCTCCTCACTCTATCCTCATGTTTCCGGCCATCTTCAGGCCCAACCCCAACTGACAGCCACATCTTCAGTCCGTCTTTCGCCTCCACCCACACCAATACCCATGCCCGTCACCTCCACATCCTGCCTCAGGTGCTTTATACTTCAAGTTGCTGGTCTGGGGCCGGACCCATCTAAACAAACACAAGCCTCGCAGGCTGATTGTGCTTATCACTGGTTGGTACCCATGTTTCTCTGTTCCATGTTGCAATGTATGCCACCATTGAGGCCCTAGGTATTCCATGCTCCTGCTTGTGTATACATGCTGACATGTATACATGTATACATGTATACACATGTATGTATGTATACACACACACACACACACACACACACACACACACACACACACACACACACTTCTGTCTTCCCCTCCCTCCCGCACAGGCCCATTTCTCAGCTCCCTCCCAGAACCGAGGAGTCAGCACCATTTAGCTAGCCAGCTTTCCCTACACTAAAACCATTTCGTAGAGAGACTTGAATTACTCCCTGAGGCTGGTTCCCACACACTTCTGGCAAATGCCCAGTGTCACCTGCAGCCCTGTCTCCCCTGCAGGAGATTCCCTTCTACCACATCTGGAACGGCAGCCAGAAAGCCCTGCACTGCACTTTCACCCTGGAGAGGCACAGCCTGGCTTCCACCGAGTTCACCTGTAAGGTCTGCGTGCGGCAGGTGGAAGGGGAAGGCCAGATCTTCCAGCTGCACACCACGCTGGCAGAGGTGAGGGTCAGTGACAGCCCAGGGGACTGAGGCTCTGGCATAAACTCACCTCACTCCCCAGCATCTCCTCTTCACCTCCCAAGTCACCTTGAACGAGCAACCATCACTAACTGAGCACGGTTCATATGACATATATCACCATATCAGGTTGTCACACCCACAGGGAGAGGGTTATGGTGGTCCCCGTGTAGAAGATGAGAGTCTCGAGGCTGGGGCTGTAGTTCACCTGTCAGAGTGCTTGCATAGCATGTATGGTGTCTTGGGCTCCACCATCAACTACACCAGACATGGTGGTGCATACCTACAATCCCAGTGCTTGGGATGTGGAGACAAGAGGATCCAAGATCATCTTCAGGTACATTGTGAGTTTGAGGACAGCTTGGGCTACATGAGACCCCAGCTCAATAAAATAAAAAGGTCTTAGGGAAGGGAGTATCAGAATACTATATTTGGCCAACAGGCAAGGCTGGCTTTTGAACCTGGCCAAGGTAAGGACTGGCCTTTGGCTCTCAACCACTAACTCGAGCTTTAGACAAAGTCAGGACTCCTAAGATAACCAGTATAGTATAAAGCACTCAGCACAGTTCTCAAGCCAGCTCCAGCCCAGATAGGTCACCTGTCCTCTCTTGATTCTGTTTTCCACCTGTGACAAAGCTGGTTCTCATGGGCTAGGCCATGGCCATGACTCCTGGGGCCTCCTCTTCTCAAAGCTAAGTCAGCATGTGCCCAGGGCTGATCCCAAGCAAGATCACACCTGACATGGATCACCGAGCAACCCTTACCCTCCAGAAGTGGATGGTTAGAGAACCTAGAGAAGACAAAAGTGAGTGTAGAGCTCAGGGCATCTACACTCTACCAGTTTAAGCTACAGCCTCAGCCCTTAAGCCCCTATCCAGGCAGGAAGACTGGATGAGCTTCTTTCTGTCCAGCCGTGTGGCTATTTCATTCTCTTCCCTACCCTTCCAGACGCCTGCTGGCTCCCTGGATGTACTCTGCTCTGCTCCTGTCAATGCTGTGACCACCCAGCTGGGACCCTATGCCTTCAAGATACCACTGTCCATCCGCCAGAAGATCTGCAACAGCCTTGATGCCCCTAGCTCACGGGGCAACGACTGGCGGCTCTTGGCACAGAAACTGTCAATGGACCGGTGAGTATCCCAAGCCACAGTCACCCCCTATTGCCTGGGGTCTGGCAGGGAAGCGGGGTGCGTATCCCAGCAGACCAAGGCCAGTTCCCAGCTCCATTCCCCTTGTGCCATAATCAGTGACAGATCCACAGCTGGGGTTGTATGCACTGAGGTCACTGCCCCTCTGCCCAATGTTCCTCTCAGAGAATAGGCTTGTGAACTTTAAGTGACCGCCACCGCTCTCTAAGCCCTGCTCTTCCACAGTGTAGGCAAATGCTTCCTTACCATACAAGGGGTGTGCTCAGGCTCTTTTGGGAAACTCTGAATGTCAGATATACATGGCAAAGATGTTAAATGGTCACTTACTAGAAATCCTTATCCTTTGGCCTTGAGCAGGTAGAAAAGCTGGCTCAGTCAGTGAAGTGCTTGATGTGTAAGCATGAGGAACTGATGAACACATGCCAAAGCATCAGGCCTGCTGATACACATGTACAATCCCAGCACTGGGGAGATGGGAGACAGGAGGGTCCCTGGGATAAGCTAGCCAGCAAGTCTAACTGAAGAGTGAGCTCCAGGCCAATGAGAAACCCTGCCTCAAATGAGGTGAATGGTGTTCCTAAGGATGATGACATAGGAGATTATCCTCTGACCCCCCCTTCCCCCCACACGTTAAATGTTGTTGTTATTATTATTATTATTATTATTATTATTATTATTATTATTATTTTGAGACAGGGTTTCTCTGTGTAGCCCTGGCTATCCTAGAACTCGCTTCATAGACCAGGCTGGCCTCAAACTCACAGAGATCCTCCTGCCTCTGCCTCCCCAGTGCTGGGACTAAAGGCATGTACTACCACTGGCTGGCCTGGTTACTAGAAACAGCAGGGGCTTAGAAAGACCACTAAGACACTGTTCCTATCCTCAGAGGAGCTTGTGCCTCAGGATCAGGCCCAGAATGAAAGTGAATGTCGGGGAAGCGTGTGGCATGCCAGCCAGGAAGGTCTGGCAGGGTCCCAGCATCTTTTGATGATGGCAGTGAGCAAGATGAGAGGATGCTTTGGGTGAGCGTGTGTGCCAGGCTAGCCCAGGAGCTGCCACCCTCTCTCTGCCTCCCATCTCCCTGAAATGGGGTGCTCAAAGAATACTGTGATTACAGACATTTGTGCAATGCATATGACTTTTATGTTGGTTCCAAGGATTTGAACTCAAGTCTTCACATTTACCCACAGAACTGTCTTGCCAGCGCTTATTCAGATATTGAGTCCCTCTGTGGGTTTATCTGTCGATGAATGTAGAAGCTTATGACCCAGGCACTTGCTCAAAGCCCACCTCTAAACACTGCTGGTAGGAAGTCCGGCTGTCCATCCGTGAGCCTTTTCAGGATTATTGTATTCTCACACTCTAACAGGAGATAGCTGACCTTGTTCCTATTTTGGAGAGGGGATGAGTCTTAGAGGGCACACTGATTTGTGTAGGGCTGCATAGCCTTCAGTTGGAGGACCTGGGATTCAGACCTAGGGCTCTGAAGATTTTCCCAATTCACAGGCTGATCACCTCAGGGAAGCCAACTTTGCCCTTTCCTTCCCACAGGTACCTGAATTACTTTGCCACCAAAACTAGTCCCACGGGTGTAATCTTGGACCTCTGGGAAGCTCAGCAGCAAGATGATGGGGACCTCAACAGCCTGGCCAGTGCCTTGGAGGAGATGGGCAAGAGCGAGATGCTGGTGGCCATGGCTACTGATGGGGACTGCTGAGTGCTTGTGACCACAGGACAGTGGAGACCAGTATGAGACAGTACAAGGAGGCCTAGCAGCCTCCCCGTGGGGGTGTCCAGCCTCTGCCATCCCTGGCTCATAGCTGGAATGGTCCCTCACCCCCTCTCCCTGCCGCACCCTCAGACCACCACCAGCCTTAGAAAACCTCTGTGCTCTACTGATGAGAGGCCGGGATCCTCTGCCCCACCGTTTCTTGGCTCGCACTGGGATAGGCTGAGGCCTCTGGGGCAGCCTAAGGCCAGAGGCTTTCCCCCTGTCACAACCCAGCACCCTCAGCCCTGTGACTTTGGGAGCCCACAGGTTTCAATTCTGTGTTCATATTGTCCTTGGCTAAGGACCTCTCTCCTATCCTGGGTCCTCTTTGAAAGGCTGAGTTGAGTTCAGAGAAACTGCTGTCTCCTGTGTGCAAGGAAAAAAAAAAAAGGAAAAAAGAAAGGAAGGAAGCAAGCATGAATGAATGAAAGAATGAATGAATGAATGCAAGCTTCAGAACTCAGTGAGCAAAAACCACAAGGGAAAAAAAACAACCAGTTTCTTAGGAAACGCAAATGATTTATTATCCAGATATTTGGATAGGTCCTTTTTAAGAAATAAACATGCAAAAAAGTAAGAAAAGAAAAAAGAGGGGGTAGGGCACTTTTATTCTCCAGTGTGTTTAAGAGTGGGTAGGTATGCTTGTGACTTGGGCCACAGGCGAGTGCATTCATGGGCACATGTGTGTACGTATGTGTGTGTGCATGGGTGTGGTCAGGGAAATGCTTTGTTACTCTTGAATCCATTGTGGACTGGATTCTGAAAATGCCTCAGTTTCTCCAGCTGTGCAAGGAGCCGATACAGGGTTTCAGCCATGGCACTGAGTCCTAAAAACGAAGGCAGAAGCTGGGGCCTCTGTTCCTCCAGAGCCCTAGGCAGATGCCTTTCTGTCTGTGGCCTCCTCTGGGTTTCTGAGAATATGCTTGGAGGCCCAGGCAGGCTGTCACCTGGGGAGACCCTTTCATGTCTCTTGCCCTAGTGATTCCTGATCTAGTAATGTGGCCCACAGGTAAGGCTCCTGCAGAGAGGGAGGGGCCTCCAGGTTCCCTCTCAGGCTGGATGGCTTTGTGTCTAGGGGGACGCTGCACCCACCCCTGCAACTCTATCTAGTCTTTGGTTCAGCCATTCACTCTTCTGCTGGGGTCAGGAGATATGAAGGTAGCCTTTCTAAGTAGACATCTTCACTCTTGGCCATTGAGGCCAGTTTGGGCACGTCCTGGGCTTTGAAAGTTGGGGCTTCTAAGGGGGAGCATGTTTCGTTTCAGCGTCTGTGTCCTGGCTTCTCCGCTGCAGCTCCTGAGGCCTGGGGCTCTGAGATTGGGACCCAGGTATCCTTGCACCTAGGTTGAACAATGCCTCAGACAGTGACTCTCAGCTCTTCCTGCCAAAGATGCCCATCCCTGTGGGCATGATCTTGCTGGTCACTGTTAGCCCATGCACAGAAGGGGCCTCTGTCCCTTCTGGGAGTCAGAAGACCAGGATTTAAGTTCTAGCTGTGCTGTGTGACTTAGGGCACATAACCGCCTTCTCTGGGCTCCAATGTCCTTTTTATCCTGGAACTCCGTGAGGCCCCTGGGGCGGGGAGTGTCTTACACTTTTCTGGGCTTCAGAAGGGAATCAAGTAGAAAGAAGTTGATTGTGGTCTGTATGCCCTCCTTTGCCCACCCATCCTCAGAAACCTGCCTGCCTGGGCCCTGATGGGAACACTTGGTGAATAGGTCCCAGTTAGCTGGAGCCTGGGGTAGGGCTCCAAGTGGACAGTTTGGTAGCAGCAACCCAGGTAACATCTGCCAACTCTGGATTGAGCCAGGATTCTTGGGTTGGGTTTTCCACTCCTGCCTTCAGTGAGCTGGAGCCTCCTTTTTCCATTCTGGCCAGCTTGGTGTTGCCGGGTTCTGCAGGGTATTTGTGTGTCATCTTGGGTGTGTTTGTGTGTGTTTGCAAGCCTGCTTGTGTGCGTGCAGCGTGTGTGTGTGTATGTATGTATGTATGTATGTATGTATGTATGTATGCCTGTGCTTTTCAACTTGGGCACATCAGGGCACCCCTCCCAGATCACACACACCTGTTTCCGCATGTGGACATGGCCTCTGTGCCCAGGATTGTGCCACTGGAGGTGGGAATGCCTGTTTGCTGTCCCCGAGTCACAGGGTCAGTCAGTGTATCTCCTATGTGCCTCTCCTGCCCTCCTATGGGGCCCATGATTCTGAGCTCTGGCCAGACACCTCCCAAGGGATGGGGACCCTCCTCATCCTGATCTTCCAGGGCCCTCTGGTCCCCATCTTGACGCTCCCAGGCATCTGAGTCAGCCCCTTCCACTCACCCTCAGAGGGCAAGTGGCTGCGAACTTGGATGTGGGGGTGTGAACATGGCTCTGTGTCCCTGGATTCCAATATGGTGGGGGATGGTCCCAGGCCCACCCATTCATCCTGTAAACAAACTGTAAATAGCCTTTAGCATTCCTCTTGTAACGAGATTAATTTTTATGAAATAAATTATATTTCCTAGTCTAATAAAAAAGAAAAAACCCAGGTCCTGGTTTGATGTCTTCTTGGTGTCTTTTAATGGCAGTTGTGTGTGACTGTCTTGTTCTTCCACACAAGTTGAGAGCTCCAACCCTTGATCCAGCTCAACAGCCTCACCTTACAAAAGGGAAAATGGGCCGAGATAAGAATGGGCTTTCTCACAGTTGCACAGCAAGTTAGATCCTCATGAAGGGCCTGGACCTCGCTGTGGTCACCAGCCAGGGCCTAAAGCCCAGAGCGTAGGTAGCAGGGATCACGGACTAAGACGAACACCCCTCTACCTCCCCTTTCATGAGGATGAGCCCCAACTGAGGCTGGGGTGGGGGTGGGGGGTCAGGTCAGCATGTCAACCTGTGGTGGAGGATGCTGTACAGGCAGGACATTTACAACCCAGACAAATACTCATCTAAGGAGGAGGGTGGCAGCATCCTCACGCAGATGACAGACAGATGGCATTGACATCGTTGTTCTCTCAGCAGGTGGTTCCTGCTAATCAGTAGGTCTTTGTCAATTTTCCTGCAGGTGGAGGCGTGCACGTTTTATTTTTCATGACTGATAGTTACCTCCATTTAAACTGGTCTCCATAGCCTTGGGGGTCTCAGGCCTCACCCTGTGGGTCCAGTTGGTAGTCCCCAGTCCTTGTTGCCTCCAGTCCCTTGAGTTTGGAGAGCCCTTGACCCTGTTAATGGAGGATCATGATGCCCACCAGCTCACCACACACGTAAGAGTGCTGCCACCTAGTGGTTGCTTTTTTATTGTCCTTTGGTAAGACACTCCTCTTAAGTTAACACAGGGTGTTTCCAGAGATCAAGGTTCCTTGCCAGCTCTGGCTCCCCAGCACCTGTGGCTGGCTCTAGGGCCATCTCAGTGTGGAGAGCATGTGAGGCAGCCCCGAGGTGAGAAGTTAATAGGAAAAGGGAAATCCATGTGTCCTCTGGGTGTCTATGGTCTGGTAGGGGGGCAGGGCACAAGTGTGTATACACCGCCACTTGACCTGCCTTCATTACCTGGGCTGTCAAGACCAGAGGCAGCCACATTCAGCGAGTTTTGAAGGCCCCAGAAGATGCCCCAGGGTGACTGTTTGTGGTTTGAAAATTCAAGGGGAATTTATTGATCTGACAGGACATGTCCTGGAGGTAGGGCATGGGGAGTGAGCCAGGCTGGACAACCCATAGTGTAAAAAAGTGAAACCTACAGATGGCACACCAGGGGCAGGGTGAGGACAGGAAGTAAGGGTCCTTCTTGCCTCGAGAGAGGGAGAAGAAGAGATAGAGATTGTCTGGGATTAATGGGGAGGAGAGGACCTGGGTACAGAGCTGTGAAGCCCAGTGGCTGGCAGCATGAGAAAGCAGGGAGGACACACGATGGGGTCTCCAAAGCCACTATTGGCTCTAGATCACAGAACCTGGATCTCGGAACTTTTTACCTAGACTGAGATTTAAAGATTGTGATAGGGGTGAGAGAAGCCACTGCAGCACTTCCCAGGGAGGGCAGGAGGTCTCCACTTTGGCAAAACTGCATCGAGCCACAGCAGAATAGGGGCAGTAGAGCTTGGTGTGAAGGAAAGGTTCTCAGAACCTCCTGGCCCTGGGTTCTGTAGCCAAGCCACATTCTGCGCCGTGGGGTCAGCATGCCACAGGGACAATAAGAAAGCAACCACTAGGTGGCGCCTGAAAACAAATGCAGTTAGAATCAGCAAGTATCTGGTGCCCTAAAGTTCTGGTGTTCCTGTTTCTGCCCTCAACCCAGGGAGCTTGGAATGCTTTTCTCCAGGCATCCCAGGAGCGCCCTCCTCTGGTATGAAATGGGAATAGCAGTGGGACAGCGTTGGGTCACAGAAATCACCATTGGAAGCAAATGGTGAATTAGCATCCGTTAAAAAATGAAAAGAAAACCAACTAGAATTCCAGACCTTGTGAAGAGACCCTTCTTTTAAAAATATGTATTTATTTTTAATGTGTATGAGAGAGAGCGCACCTGTACCTTTGTGTAGCTGGTTCTCTCCACCCACCACTTACATAGGTTCCCGAACCTTTACCCACTGAGTTATTAGGTGACCCTGGAATCTGTCCTTGTAGAGGTTAACAGACTGACCTTGACAGAAACAGAAAAGATTTTTAGTGGAGGCAAGCATGAAGAGGGGCTGAGCAAGGGATAGCGGAAAGAGCATCTGGACAGAAATAACAGCAGCTGTGACAACAAGAAGAGGGAGCTTCTCAGTGAGTTCTCAAACACCGTAGAATTAAACTACAGAGTAGTAACACAAGCCCCAGTAGGGGCTGTAGCAGTGGAGTGTCTTGGGGTCTCTGTGGCACAGTATCTTGGTCTGCTGTGATTTCTTTACAAAATGACCTGGACACTCTCCACATAGAGATGAAGATTATCCAGGTATGGTGGTGCACAGCCATAATCCCAGTTACTAAGATCTTGGGCTCTAAGTAGGCCCAGGATGAAAGTAAAGGGGTGTACCACGGGTGAAGCAGGGACAGAGGATTCAAGGGCCAGAGTTTCCTAAAGGTCAGAATTTCTGAGGGGGCTGATGAGCCAGCACACAGCAAGGAGAGATGACTTAAGTCAGCTTTGGAGAGACGGATTAGAACTAGTTATTGTAGGAATATTAGAAGTAGTTAGTGTTTCCTCTGGGAGCCCTGGAACTCTGGCGGGTGGGGTGGGGCGATACTGATGGGCCTAAACCAGGAGCTTGTGCAATGACAGGAAAATGACCACAAGATGGCAGCATCTACCGG